TTTCATGCGAGGTGTGATTCGCTTCGGGAAGAAAGGGAAGCTTAAACCTCGCTATATTGGGCCGTTCGAGATCCTCGACCGAGTCGGGAACTTAGCATATCGGCTGGCTTTACCACCAGACTTGTCGGGTGTGCACGACGTATTCCATGTCTCGATGCTTCGGAAGTATGTGCATAATCCTGATCATGTGGTGGACTTCGACGAACTGCAGGTCGAGCGAGACCTTACCTATGAGGAGGTGCCGGTAGCTATTCTGGATCGGAAGGTCCATCAGCTGAGGAACCGGGCATTGAGCTTGGTGAAGGTGCTGTGGAGCCGACACGATGAGACCGAGGCGACTTGGGAAAAGGAGGCCGAGATTAGGAGGCGTTATCCGAACTTTGAGTTCTGAGTTCTCCTCTTGTATTTTATTGCTTTCTAGTTTTATTTTCGAATTTCGAGGACGGAATTATTTGTAAGGTGGATAGACTGTAATACCCCGTTTTATTTTGGATTATTGGAGAATAATTATTGATTATCGTTATTATTATTATTATTATTATTATTATTATTATTATTATTATTATTATTATTATTATTATTATTATTATTAAATGCCTAATTTCTTATATTACTATTAATATTATGATTATTAATTGTCTAATTGTTTCTAAAGGATTATTATTATATAAATATAAATGGTGTGTATTATAAATATATATATATATCGTCCGGATTAATTTATAATTCGCAATCAATCGAATCGCTCGGAAATTCTTGTTATAGCGTTGTATTTTAATTCGGTTCGGTTAAATTGGTTCCGACCCAATTTTAAGTTATAATTTCTAGCCCAAATGATATTAACTATTGATGGCCCAATTTTTATTTAATTTAACCCAAATAAAAGGGCCCAATCATACCGTCCGACCCGTTCCTTTTCTTCTTCACGATCGGTTCTTCTTCGCGCATCGATCGGCCCTCTTCTTCTTCTTCTTCGCAACCGACTGAACGAGAATTCCCTTCAAAATCGCGCACATCTCGGCCCGTTCTGCTACTCTTCTTCTCTTTATTCCTCCGCACGACTGAGTCCAAGCAAGATGTCTTCCCTTTCGAATTTCAGTTCCGATCTTGGCGGAGGATCGCGCACGATTTCGCCATCTGCCATTATATATCGGCTTCATATTTGAGGGAATCATTCAAGTTGTTCCCTGTTCTCTCTCTCTCGCTCAATTCGTCAGTTTTTTTTAAAAAAAAATTGTCCGCCATAGCCGAGGAGCTCGAGCCGCCGTCGACCGCCTTCGTCGAACCGTTTGTCGAGAAGAGGTCCCGCGGCAACCATTCACGAGCAGTAGCGTATTCGAAGGGTTCTGGGCTTTCGAGGTGTAGGGTTGTCCTTCCGTTGGTTCCCGTCGTCTCGTCCGATTTTCCAACCAAACTCGTATATTCCCGAAGAAAGGTATCAGTTGAACCTTCTTTTGTTTATTGTTGCGTATTGTGATTGATTGTTGGTTAGGGTTCGTCGGTTCGGGTTCCGTTGGATAATCTATCTATATTCGGAACATTTACTCGTTGTGATTTTAGTTGTGGATTTTGGGTGGATTAATGGACTCTCATTCGTATTTCGAACTCTGTTTGTTGCCGGGATTAATTGATTGTTGATTCGATAATCGTATATTTATTCGGTTCGTGTTGTTCGTCGTATTACGTTTCGGATGTTAGTCG